GTTCTGACTGCATCAACCACAAACTGAAAGGCTTCATTCTTAGATGCTCCAATCCCTAGGGAAAGCCCTAGGTACCTTGAGGACCTCTCCACAATAACCCCCAGTCAAGATAGAACAGATCTTCTCCTTCATAGCTACAGAGCAATATCTACCTAGAAACATAGATGATTTATGAAGATTCACTTTCTGCCCTGCAAACTCCTAGTACATTTAAAGCACATCCATCAATAAGTTAGCATGATGCTCATCTGCTTTGCAAGAAATCAGTGCATCATCAGCAAATAGAAGATGAGTGATCATAGGGCCCTCCTTAGACAGTTTAATACCCCTGAAGAAACGCTGATGTACCTTATGAGCAATCACAATTGAGAAAAGTTCAGAAACCAATAGAAACATGTAGGGTGAAAGTGGATCACCCTGCTTTATTCCCCTAGTTGATGTGATATATCCATTGACACAACCATTCAGATTGAAAGAAAATGATGAGGTAGAAACACAAGCCATTATCCACCTGATAAATTTGGAATGAAAGTCCATCTTCTTCATAGTCAATCGGATACAATTCCACTCCACACGGTCATATGCCTTCTCCATATCAACTTTCAGTGCCATAAATACATTTTTACCAGTTCTGTGCCTGTTTAGAAAATGAAAGACCTCATGGGCTATCACCACATTATCTAGGAGTTGTCTCCCTGGAACAAATGCAGTTTGAGATTCACTAATACAACCATCCAGGCAACTTTTGAGTCTCTCAGCCAACACTTTATCCACAATCTTGTACAAAACCCCACATAGACTAATAGGTCTATAGCTGCTTAGATGCTCAGGATACAAACATTTGGGAATCAAAGATATCACAGAGTGATTCCAGTTTTTCAACATAGTACTTGATTGGAAAAAGTCAGTCACCGCTTTGCAAATGTCTCTCTTCACTAAGTGCCAGAAATGTTGAAAAAATATTGCAGTCATCCCATCCTCCCAAGGAGATTTCTCGGGAGCTATATTGAAGAGGGCAACATGTATTTCCTCTTCACTTACCTGTCTGATTAGGTCATTGTTAGTGCTATCTGAGATGCTCTGTGGAATATGATTGAGAAGGTCCTTTCCCCTGGCTGACCCTTCTGATTTAAACAGTGAAGAGTAACAGTTGACAATGTGGTCTTCCAGTTTCTTCTTATCCTCCATGACCTCTCCTGTACCTGACACTAACCTCCGGATGGAATATCTCTTCCTCCTTTGAGCAGCAAAAGCATGGAAAAATCGAGTGTTTTTATCTCCTGCTTTGAGCCAGAGAGCCCTAGACTTTTCCCTCCAGTATTGTTCTTCCTCCATATAGGCCTTTTCCAGGTCAAATTTGGTGGCACTCCAGGCTGTCCAATCCACATCTCCTCCATCGGCTCGCATCTCTTCCATTTTAGCTGTAAGAGTTTGAATCAGTTTTTCATTATTTCTCTTGATGGGGTTATACCACAACAAAAGGGCCCTTCTAGTATTTTTGACCTTCTGATGCACTTTGAACATCTCAGAGCCATCACAGACCCCACCCCATCCCTCCTCCACTGCCTCCTCAATTCCTTCCATTTTAAGCCAATTCTTATCAAATGTAAATCTCTTCTTAGTTGGCAGCTGCTCCACTTCAGTATCATAAAGAATGACATTGTGATCAGAAGCACACCTATAAAAATTAGACACCTCCATCTTGGGGAATCTCCGCAACCACTCCTGGGAAGTAAAAACTTTGCCCAATCTTTCCTCAACAGACCCATCTCCCCTTCTGATCTTGCTCATACATTTCCATTCCCACAATGAAGTCTCTGAAAGGTAAAAAGCTGCTCTCAGCTCTGGCTCTCCCACCTCTTTTTTCCTCATTACAAACTATATCATTCCAATCCCCAGCTATAGCCCAACAATTAACCCAATCACCCTTCTTCTCAAGCAAAAATTCCCACTGCAAAACCCTTAAGCTCCTCTCAGTACTCATATACACAAAAATCAACCAACACCACTCAGTCATCTCTATGCCTCTCACTTCCACTTGAATACAAAACCCATTACCAACAATGTTCCTTATTTCTACAGACTGATCCCACAAAATAAGAAGGCCTCATTTACTTCCCTTTGGTTCTTCCAAATGCCATCTGTCTTGGAACCCCAACTTTTTGCATATTGTACTAGTAAAATTTTTGTTTTTTTTTTTTTTTGTTTTGGTTTCTGAAAGAAAAATAATATGAGGATGGTGGATTCTTCTGGAATCCTTGATTTAGGAAACTGTAGGGCCCACCCAGCCCTCTACAGTTCCACACCATGACCTTCATTGATCACATTGGGGCCACTCAAGGCTGGCCTTCTCTACCTTCTCAGCAGATAGCTTTGTTCTTTCCTCTTTTGTTCCTCCTCTGTGTTTTGATATTCCACCAGTTGTAGATGTTGCTCCCCTCCTCTCTCCCTTTTTCCACCAATGGTAGATAAAGGAACCCCATGGGGTAATGGATTTCTCATCAATCTTCCTAATCTCGCAGATGATCTTCTCTATGCTTTCCTACTCTGAGGCAGAAGAACCTCAGAGACTTCTCCAACTTCTTTCACTAAGTCATCATTCTCTACAATCACCATGATATCCACATTTCCACTTTCCTCCTCCCTGATCACCTCCTCAACTATCTCCTCCACTACTCCCATTGTGGGTACCATTGGAGATACCACTATATCCAGAGGGTTTCCCCCCTCCACATCACCTGGAGCAAGAGAAGCAAAAGATCCCCCTTCCCTATTATCACCTTTCTCATATTGCACCGGCTGTCTCGATGTACTTGCAGCAGCATTAGAGTCCATCATAGGATTCTTCTGAGGAGAGCACTCTAGTATAAGATTGTTTGTACCCATAGAAACTATCTCCAGCTTTAAGCCAATCGCCAAACCGCCCATCCTGCAAACATCGATTCCCAATGTCTAGTAACCGAGTTTCACAGATTTTATCGAGATGTCCAGCACACCCGCAATAATAACATAAGTTCACCAATCTTTCATATTTAATTTGGACCATCGTTTGCTGATCTTCAAGTTTAACCATTGTGCAGCGCGGCAATGGCTCCTTAGTATTTATGGTTGCCAACAGTTTTATATAGCTGCCTTCCTCTCCCCCCCAATCGGCAGATTGTGAAATTTTTCACCCCATCAAAAACATCCCCAATTTTCAGGCCAACTTCACTGCTCATCCAATTGAAGGGAACATTTAAGACATGAACCCATAAATTAATCAGGTCAAAGCTTCTATGTTTGCTGGTAAGCCCCCTTTGCCACTCCCGCAAGACCAGATATTGGTTCTCAAACAGCCAACTATGCCCCCGCCACAACTCTTTTCCTATCATCTTCAGATAAAAAAATGATATGGAAAAAATTTGTTTTCAGTTCACGGATCTCTAGTCTTTGTTGGAGACGCCATATCGAGCTCATAGCTCTCTTAACCCCCAGCATAGATGCCTTTCTATCGCCAATAACTTTGCCAAATAGACTTTTACCACATTCCTCCTCGCTCGACACAATATCTCTCCGCTGAATTTCGACACCTCCCAATTCCTTCATAGATAACGAGAATTTTTTAAGTTTTTTTGTGACCTCATCTCCCATTTCCTCCAAATCAGCCATAGATAGAATAAATATAGCAATCTCTCCAAAATAAACCAGAACTCAATCGATCGCCTTCACCAAAGGAATAGATCTACTCCCACCTGAGAGAATCGCACCCGCTCCCACCAGAGAGAATTAAAATTGATCTCAAGATTTCACTGGCATTCAAGATTTGATTTTTTAGTAGAAGTTAATCTCTATATTTGTAATAATAACAAGAACCCCAACTCTACTGATTTAAGCATTTAGGAATTTCCATGGAATATATCCTAAATGTAATAACAAATTAACTCTTGATGACTTATACATTCTTTTTTAATTTCAGATGTTTTAATTTTTTAACTGTAATTATAATTGTAAATTAGCACTAAAGTACATTCCATGGGTTTTATAATTAACAGAATTTTTATGATATTTAATGTTCATAGTTGAATGATAGTTTATTAACTTACAATTTAAGTAAATATTTGAAAGGATACACAATGATATAATTAATGTTATAAAATAATAAGTTAGAGTTTATTAACTTATAATTTAAGTAAATATTTGAAAAGATACATAATGATATAATTAATATTATAAAATAATAAGTTATTCGTGAAAGTTAAATTGTGCTAAGAGGTGTGCATAAGGCGACTAAAGCCGAAAAAACTAATCAAATCGAAAAATTTGGCTCGATTTTTATCTCGGTCAATTTTTAGTTTTAGTCGAATTATTTTTTGGTTATTTCAGTCGGTGTTGGTTTTCGGACATCAAATATCCAGAATAACTGAGCCAACCGAATAATATATATATATATATATATATTTGGATATATATTATATTATATTATATATATTATATTATATTATATATATTTTAAAATGTATAATTCAGTTGATTTGACCAAACCAACCGAAACCGACTAAGAAGTTCGGTCGGTTAATATTCGGTTTAAATTGATATTCGGTCGATTGCGGTTATTGGCATAGTATGGTTCAATTATTTCGGTTTTCCTAATTGGTTCGGTCAGACGATCGAACTGACCGACCAATGCACACCCTTAATTATGCCCCTCCATTCCAAATTTCTGCGTCCGCTCCTGGCGTTGGGTTCTGCAGGTATGAAGACCGTTCGAGTTGAATTAGCCCGAGTGAAATTCATTACACTCGTATTATAATGGAGAGAGTGTGAAAAACGGATAGTTAGATAGATAAAGTGTAATTTTTTTTTT